CACACACACACACACACACACACACACACACACACACACACACACACACACACACACACGCGCGCGAGTGGGGGTTGATGTGGTGATTGTCAGGAACATGGGTGCAACACAAAGGGAGAGCCACGGCAACCCAGAACATGACTGTGTATTCATCGCAAGCATCGCTCCGCAGCAGATAACAAAAACTGCACTCACTGATCAAGCATGCAATTGCAGCTAAACGAAAGAGTAGACTGCGAACTTACAGCTGTCTTTTACTTCTCTGACGTTATTCCGACCTGGCACAAGCTTCTTGAACTGAAACACCTCTGACGAGATAGTTGGCAATACTCTTACAACAAATTTTGTTGTCGCATCTGCCATAACCATACATGGACAAACACAGGAAAACATAACCAGCAAATGAGGCTGCTACTCTGGTACAGAACCATGGCCCCAAGGAAATACACCACACGTCCACATCACTTTACACAGCCCATTTCATCAAGAGATGAAACAGAGGTCAATTTTCACTAGAAAGGAGGGGAGAATGCATCCATGGGTAGGTACGTCAAATGAACAAATTGTGATCCTTGACCCTGGATATCAAAAGAGCAAAGTGCCAAGTGTCGCTGTCTAAAAGTGCAAAGTGTCGCTGACTAAAAGCGCAAGGTGTCGCTGACTAAAAGAAGTTGCCAATGGATTGAGACCCGGGCAAAGGGCAATGCCCAAAAGTGCATGAGTCAACGGAGTCCACAATAGCATGTAAAATCGTAGATTGTAGGAAAGGACAAAAGAACAAGACGCATCAAAGGTGCACATGCAATCTGTGTACCATTCTTGGCCATGAAATGGACATCCAATTCGCAGCCCTAAGGCTGCGGTATTGTGGGCTTCGGCGTCTGCGTCAAGGTGTCGCATTTTCGGCGGCGGGCGACCAGGACGTAAAGTGGGTTTTTAGGGGGCAAAAGTTTGGGGGGGACCGGTCCTTGGCAAAATTGGGGACTACCTACAGGCAGCTCTGGAATGACCGGGCCTTTTGGAAAAAGCAAGGACCGGTCCTCGGGTGGAAGTGCACCCCAAAAAGAAGTGGGGGTCGTCGGACCGGTCCTCAGTAGAAGCGGACCCCAAAAAGAAGTGAGGGCATGTGAAGTGCAAAAGGGCCCTCAGGCCCAGGCGTTGAGCCCCGTCTTCTCAAAACCGGGAGGTCGGCACAACAAAACAGGCGTTTTCCAAGAGGAACCTTTGGCGATTTTCTGTGCTCCGACGAACCCGCAGAAAAATCTGAAATTTTGAGAATCCATAGACGAGGTCCTGTTCTTCCCAGGAATAATATAAGAACATTTAAAAAAAATCATTTAGACTGCGAAATAATTGTCGCGCAGATTCGGCACATTTTCCATTTTTGCCACTCAGCCATATGTGGGCCAACTAAAAGAGTACTCCAAATTCAGTGAGTTTTCGCACTCAGAAGAAATGCTTGAAAAAAACTGAAAATTGGAGAACTCATAGATTTTGTTGTGATCTTTCCAGAAAATACGCTCAATAAACTTTTAAAAAAATCATTCCAATTGTGAAATAGATCGCGGCCGCAATTTGACCCATATTTCAATTTTGCCATTCAGCATCTCTCTCTCTCTCTCTCTCTCTCTCTCTCTCTCTCTCTCTCTCTCTC